CTCTTTTTTTCGGCACCTTTGTTGATGTCAGACACACTGTTTCGGGGTACAATTTCACCTTCGTCAAACATCAGGTGAAGGCGATAATTCACCATCTTAATGAGGATGAAGAAAATGGTCACTGAGGTGCAGTAAATACTGAGGGCCAGACTTGTGGGTGGAAGAGCCTGAGGAACATAAAAACATAAACACATTAGATGCTCTGTGTATAGGTAGAATGTTTCTCAAGTAGGTGCTCTTTCCTTCATAAAGGTGCTTTAAAAGAAGGCATTACAAAACCAAGTGCAAAGAAGAGTGCACTGTCGAAGTGTTGTATAGGATGTATGTGCTTCAAGTGATATTTTTCTTGCAGGTAAAATACTTTTGCATTCGTGAAGAATAACCAGTAAGCATTGCAAAAACAACACATTTGCTCTTTTACTGCCAAATACAAACCGCTAACAGCGAACACTTTTTTTCTAACACAGTGTAAATAAATAAATAAATACATACTAACACATACTAACTACCAACATAACGTGGAACCGCAGGGACTCACTGGTATGTAAATGGCCAATGCTGCAATATATTAGAAGCTAAAAAGTTAGATCCCTGGCAAAGAACTTATTTCAGTCCATATTTAGTAGCACTACATAGAATGAAAACAAATAATGGGCTGAACACTGATGTAGATTGGCACTGACGACGCCAAGACCATATTCACCACTACCATTCACCTCAATCAATGAGAATGATACACTGACAGAGATTACATAAAAATTATGCTCAATCATTTCAGAGTTGAACATCTGACAGAGCTGAACATTTGTCATTCATGTCAGTTTTCAATAAGACAAAGCAAAAACTATTCACGCTTGTCAAGCTGCATTCAAAGCTGTACGATCCTGTGCTAAAAATCTGCGCAGCTCACAGCGAGACTCGGTTTGAACAATATCAGAGTATGTGCAGATAGGACACAACACATGGGTATGTTTCACCTACTATCAATTTCCACCCACAAACAGGCCTTCTAGATACCAGCGATACATATCAATGCGTAACATCATTATGACTTTACAGGATAACTATTGTTTGCTTATTAATTCATTGTTATGGTTGTTGACTGGAGTGTCTAGAATTATCCGAGGGGTTAAGGACTTAAGGAGGGGTGTGGCTGCAGGTTTTCGTTTCAACCAAACAGGATCCACACCTGATTCCACCTATTTAATGAATTGATCTTAGCTTTGAATCAACTTTAGAAATTTTGAGAAAATCTTAGAAAATTGTGAATCCTAGCAGTCCTTCTGGTGGAACTCTTAGTTTCTATGTGGAGCCCTACAACAAAGTGTTTCCCTTTTGGAAGCTAACATCCTTTAGTTATCTAATGAACCCTTAAAGAACCCTTGAAGAACCTCTTTCTCTATGAGTATATATACAACACCCTTGGAGGATTGGAAGTCACTTGTGCATAGTAGAAAATGATTGTGGCTAAAAATAGACAGCATGATGCTACTAGCAGGCTCTGTGCAACAGCCTTGCTTACCAGCCCTGAATACATTTCTGTGCTTCCCCTGCTCTGTTGTACATGACTCAACCATCCAGTGGATATTAAAACCTTTATAAACTGGCATGTTAAAGCAGGGAAAGCATAGGGAATTGTTTAGTCTGTTTGGGAGACTTACCCAGTACAGATGAGAATCGATGTATAGTAAAGTCAATTTAAAATGTATACATATGGAAATGTATTTTTCAGATAGATCTACGCCACGTTCGTCCATCACAGCATGCAGAGAAAATGCGCCAAAGCCAGACTGCTGGCAGCCAGAGGCAACTGAGTGCAGGGAATAGTGGAGCTGACTACTCCGGGCCAAGCTGGGGAAGGACTTCAGAGAGCCTGGTATAGATTGTCTTTGTTTTTAGGTAATGACAGTCATGAATATATCAAGGTTGGCATAATAATTAGGTCACTAGAGTGAACTTTCTATCCATAGAAACACTAAAACCTCTGGAGAATTCTGTCCCCTCTCAGAGGCGCAAATGGTTCTGTCTGGTTTCTTCATAGATTCGAGGTTGATGCAGGCGTTTAAACTGGCGTATTAATAATAAATAATTTTTAAAAAACTATGGAAAAGATATAGAAAACAATGAAATAACGTAAGTGTAGGGGGAAAGAACAACCTGCCGTGATTTAGAAATCAAACTGATGGAAACAACCGAGAGTTCACTCGGATAATGGTACAAGTACCTGCAATCCTTTATATTAGATACACTGTCCAGACAGAATCATAACCCCAATATTATATGATTGTACACTTTCAGAATAAACAGGGTGCCATTCCGTTCTGAGGTGGTACCATCAAGAATACACATTTTAGTATCTTTAGTAAATCCATTTAAAGAATTACTGTAAAAGGTAATTACAATCCAATTATGTAGAATAAATCATGTTTAAATGTGAAATACATACACCTACATATTAAAGGTATTGCTTCTAAGAGTGTAGAGGAAAAGATTACATGGACAAAGAAGGGTGGATAAAATGAAGGGACTGTATTACAGTAGCCGATAATAATTACTCCATATAATTGTTTCTCGAGTATACATATAAGCGTTGGTGATTGGACCCCTAAGGACTGAGTTTGTATTTAGGATGGAGTGCCACTGTATAATTCACAGCCTTCTTCATGCTTAAATTGCACTGACTGCTGACTCATTTCCATCCTGAACCACATGCCGTGCCTGCGCAACATTTTACTCACCAGATGCAGAGACAGAGGCAACATGAGCAAGAAGAGCCACAGATAAAGGTGGCAGGAGTTGTTGAATTTATTCTGCTCGGGGTCGTGGTACCATCCGCCGGTCAGGGAAGCCCACACCCCCTGGCGGAGCGTTTGAAGCACCTGGGAGCCCATCCTCGCAGAGGCAAAAACTAAACCCGGATCCTTCTGGAGGATAAAATCACCCTCACCTCCATCACCTCGATTTCTTCCCCTGGTAAATAGTACCCTACATGTTGCGGATGGTTACACCTTTTAGGATCCAGAACCTCGAAATTCCTCGGCTTTTCTTCTCGTCCTCTCATCGTCTTCTTGGTGTGCCATTATTAAAGGACCGGTGCTGTGCGCTGCAAGCTGAGCATCATCCTCCCAGTGTGTGTGTGGGTGTGTGTGTGTGTGTGTGTGTGTGTGTGTGTATAGCGAGAGAGAGTGAGAGAGAGAGAGAGAGAGAGAAAGAGAGAGATGAGTAGTGTTTGTTATGTGATGTCCCTTTCTCCTGCCCTCAATGATTCTTGCGCCCCCACTCTCTACTCTCTAATTCACTGCGGTCCAGGTCTCCTCCCCTAAATCACTAATGCGCATATATTATAAATTGTACGGTAATGCGCCATATGGCGCTTCACTAGTACAAACATGGCTGTAAAGCGGTACTGTAACACATTTTACCGTAAACAACAGTAAAACATATTTGCACTAAAGTACTGTAAAAAAATTTTTTATAGTACACAGCATAAAATAGCACATAATACAGCAGCTACATGCTCATCTGGTTAATGCTTTTTTAATGAGTATAATGAGTTATCAGGAAAAGTACTTTGAAGGGGATTAAACATTATATATATATATATATATATATGTGTGTGTGTATATATATATATATATAGAGAGAGAGAGAGAGAGAGAGAGAGAGAGTTATATACATAGTATAAAATTTTATTACTTTGTCTTCTGAGAAACATGTAAATATCTTATGTTGCTTCTGAAGGGGAATGAAAAGTAAGACATTTCAGCAAAATAATAACAATTTACGTCGATCATCCTATTCAAAAGTTTACAAACCCCTGGATTGTATTGTATCGTGTTGCCTTCCTGAGCATCAGTGAATGTTTACACTTTTGTAATAGTTGTGTACAAGTCCCTCAGTTGTCCTCAGTGTGAAAAGATGGATCTCAACCTAAAACTAACAATTGAAAAAAAATGCTTTAATGATGCAACATACATAAATAGAAATGAATCACTGGCTAGATTTAGAGTTCAAATTCCAGAATGACCGCTTCCACTGTTGAACCCTGTACCCCCCACTGCTCCACACCATCTTAACATGTCTGGGCCTGAGCTCTTATGCTAATTTTATTCTTAGTTGCAATATTGCATTTTTTGCTGTTTAGATCTATTGGAGAATGCCTCCCAGCTCCAGGGTCACTGATTTGATCCTGAGCTCAGGTTACTGTCTGTGTGGAGTTTCTGTGCATGTTCTCCCTGTATCCACATGTTTCCTCCAGGTTCTCTGGTTTCCTCCCACCTACCAAAAAACATGCTAGTAAAGGTGTATTGGTGAACATAAATTGCCTTTTGGTGTGAATGAGTGTGTGCATGGTGTCCAGTGATGAACAGGCCTCCGGGGTCCAGATCCACCGCAACCAGGATAAAGTCATTACTCTAAGTGAATGAGTGAGTGAACTATAAGAATATAAGTATGAGCATATACAGTATGTAGTCTAAAAAGTTGTAATAATAAATCTATAAAACACATGGTAGCTATAGGTTTTTATTTTAGTGAACCTTGTAAATAAATGTTTACACTTATTTTAGTAAAAAAATATATATATATTAAGTGTAGTTTTACATTTTAGGTCATCAAAGATCAGTTAGCTATGTGGACATTAAAGATGATGGACATGTCTACTCATTTTGCACACCCAACTACTACACTGCATATTTTACATAGTCACTGCACATTCTTACACACACACACACCGCCACTTTACTTATCACTACTGGACATTTTTGTACACACACTACCACAACTAATCATCATGCATGTGTAATGTACAGTTTTAAGCCTGCCAACCTGTAATATATTTCATACATATTAATAGATGTTAATATATACAGGAATCTTAGTCTGTAAATAATTTAGAGAGCATTAGCCTATATAATAATAATAATAATAATAATAATAATAATAATAATAATAATAATTATAATTATTATTATTATTATTATTATTATTATTATTATGGGCGCACGGTAGCTTAGTGGTTAGCACGTTTGCCTTACACCTCTAGACTCGGGGGTTCGATTCCCATGGCTCTGTGTGTACGGAGTTTGCATGTTCTCCCTGCTGCGGGGGTTTCCTCCGGGTACTCTGGTTTCCTCCCAGTCCAAAGACATGCATGGTAGGATGATTGGCGTGTCCAAAGTGTCTGTAGTGTATGAATGGGTGTGTGAGTGTACGTGTGATTGTGTGCCCTGCGATGGACTGGCACCCTGTCCAGGGTGTACCCCGCCTTGTGTCCGAAGCTCCCTGGGATAAGCTCCAGGTTCTCCGTGACCCTGAAAAGGAGTAAGCGGTTGAAGATGGATGGATTATTATTATTATCATTAAATATATTTTTATATAGCGCCATTAAAGCAGCTTCTCAAGACACTTTACACAATAAGAAAATACCAAGAAAAAATACACAGATGATATATATATATTGTGAGTTAGGAGTAAGCGGTAGAAGATGGATGGATGGATGGATATTGTGAGTTTATTGAGCATTTTTAAAGTCATGTGAACTGTTCAGTCTTAGTGCTCCCTGTTACTCGTGTGCTCTGACTGCTGTGACACCAAATTTCATATTCAAATAAAGTACTATCTATCTATCTATATTTAAAATAATGAACAGGTTGGATAAAAAAAGTAGATTTTTCCACACAGGTGTTTCCCAACTTAAAAGTTTTCATAAACCTTTCCTGAGAGAAACTGCCTTGTTCCGACTTGCCTACAATTAAATACAAATGACTGTAATCATTTCACAATACTCTTGCTTTAGTGACGGCTGATTCCAAGTTCCCAGACTGAGGTGTAAAGGTCACGTGGGTTTGCATAACCAATCGGACTGCACTTAATCGCTTTCACGGAGCAAAGGAATGCTGCAGTAAAAACATATATATATATATAGATATATAGCAGTGGGCGGAGCGTGGTATGGGACGCTATTATCTGATTCGTTGGTGGAGGCAGTGATTGATCGTGGCCCCGCCTCTCAGTGTGTGTGGCTGCTTGTCGGTAGACTGAGTGGCGGAGGCAGGCTGACGCCATGGCGCTGTTCTGCCGAGTTTCTCTACCAACTTACTGGACTTGTGCGACTCGCTGTAGTTAAACTCTTCTCTTTTACTCGGATTGTTTTTTTTTTTTTGGAGCTTCGGATTTTCTCTCGTGCCGACGAGTTTGTTTTATTTGTGAGCCGGAAGATAAAGTGTGTGAGTGTGAGAGAAGTGGAGTCAGGTGAACTCAGCGGCTGTGTTAGTAAACTTGGTCGAGAGCTACGTTTAGCTTTTCTACTCTGCCGAGGTAGTAAAGACGCGTCGTCTCCGTGGTCTTCATGTCTTTAGAGTTGCCCTCGGCTCGACCCGGGCCGGGCAACGCGGTTTATTCTGTCGCTCTGGCCAGGTCGGACACCGTTTGCACCTGTGAGTGAAGCTCGTTGCTAACGTTAGCAGGCTAATAACTCAGCAGTGGCCTTTTCCAGCCGGGGTTCCTGTCCGCTCGACTCTGGACAAAGTTGACCAAACTGAATAAAAAGTTTAGTCTCGGTTTAATAAATCGCTGAGTTGTGTTGTGTAAGTGTGTAACATCATCTTGTGGGGCTTGAGACGCTACAGTCCGAGTGGTTTTAACTGGTGCACGCGCATGCAGGTCGGACTCCAATCCCTTGAACGGACAGCTCGTGCATTAAAGTAATGAAGAGCGCGTGCGTCGGTCCGGTGCTTATTGCATGTCTGGAGAGGTAAAACCTCGGTTTTCGTTCATTCTCCGCTCGGACATCAGCGCACCTTATGGTGCCGCCGCAGGCGCCGAGTCATGAGTGTTCCCCGGGCCGTTTTCCCGAACGGTGAGGGGCGACTAGCGGAGCATGGCTGGCCGGAGAGCCCTACTTCCTCCTCCTCTTCCTCCTCCGCCGCCGCCGGGAACTCTCGCGCGCACTCGGCGCCGGCGCGCACGCGCTCGCTGTGGACTGCGGCGTACGACTACGAGGCGAGCGGCGAGGACGAGCTCAGCCTGCGGCGCGGCGACGTGGTCGAGGTGCTGTCCACAGACGCGGCCGTGTCGGGCGATGAAGGCTGGTGGACCGGCAAGCTCAACCACCGCGTGGGCATTTTCCCGTCCAACTACGTCACCTACCAACCGGCCGTTGTGTCCTCGCCGTCAGCATCGCGAGATCCCTTGGACATCCCGTTCAGCGCGCTCGTGCTCCAGGAGATCATCGGCGTCGGCGGCTTCGGTAAAGTGTACCGCGGTGCATGGCGCGAGCAGGAGGTGGCCGTGAAGGCGGCGCGCCAGGACCCGGACGAGGACATCACCGCCACCGCGGAGAGCGTCAAGCAGGAGGCCAAGCTCTTCGCCATGCTGCGCCACCCCAACATCATCCGGCTCGAGGGGGTGTGCCTGGAGGAGCCCAACCTGTGCCTGGTGATGGAGTACGCGCAAGGAGGCACGCTGAACCGCGCGCTCACCGGCAGACGCATCCCGCCGCACATCCTGGTCAACTGGGCCGTGCAGATCGCCACGGGCATGCAGTACCTGCACGAGGAGGCCGCCGTTCCCATCATCCACCGCGATCTAAAGTCCAGCAACAGTAAGAGAATCAGAGGATTTTGGATGATGTGACAAATATATAGATGTAAAGTTTCACAATATTTAGATTTGCCAAAAAAAAAAGAATAATGTTCTTAAAAGAAACAACCCCCTGAAAAGTTATTAACCGAGCGATACCTACCAAATCTCAGAAAAGTTTTCATCACAATGTCGGTCTTCTCATCGTATCGCCCAGTCCTGTGAAGCACTACGACACGGTCCCCTTATCTTCACTCATAGGGCTGCTGCAGTGTGTTCTCCTGCATCACTCACTCCAAGTTTATCTCGTTGTTCTTGCTGCCTTTCACAATTACCACGTTAATCATTAATTCACCAACTCATTTTCAAACACTGTCCCCAAATGACCATTGGGGCTTTGCAGAAAAGTGCCTGAGCTTATTAACTACTGAACCAGTGCTTCAGCATAAGATGGGTAAAGGAGGTTTTGAGAAGGACATTTTGGTTAAATGCACTTTTATGGTAAATATCTACTTTGGCCCTGTTCCCAAATGTGGGTTCAGTAGACAGAGAGGGGGTTAGAGATTAGAAACCTCTTTGCTGCGGTGACCAAACTGGAGGAGGTCACACTGTGTACACCACCTAGAGTGCTTGTGTTGTGAAAAAGCAATTGGAATTTGATACTTTGTGTATGAAGTCCTCAAAAACTCGGAAACCTAAGTATTTTTTAACTGTTTACGCTGATTGGAGGTCTGATGTTCGTATTGTTGTTGTTTGGGTCAAATGTTTTTAAATGGAGACTTCCGTATTAGTTCTGTGAGGGGGAAATTGATGGGAGAATTGTTGCGTATGAAGTCCTGGGTTTATCACGTCTGATCTTGGGCACGTAGACACACACCCAGGGACTTTTGGCCATTAAATGTGCGTCAAAAGAATCCAGTTAGCGGAGATGTAAGCGATGCAAGGGATAAGCGCGTGGTATATTTTGACACTCGGATATCGAAATGCGAGCTTTTAGAAATTTTAGAGTTGTTTCATGAGCACTTTACTGGTTTATTAAATATTAAAATGTGTTCCATGTGTATTTATTCTAGTGTTTAGATGTAGGTTTGCGGTCATAGGGAGCGACTGCAGTGAGGTTGTGCAGGTTTCACATGATGGCACTCAAAAAATGAAGGTAGATGCAGCACTTTTAAATCAGCTAGACCTTCTGAAACGAGTAAAGACTGCTCTGGCAGTATGGAAACGAACTCCAAATGTATTTAGTGCTTTCTTAAGCATGATTTGTTAATGTAGCACCAATTGATGTGGATAAATATGGTACTTTGGAAAGTGTTCTCCCCAAGTAACATGAAAGCTTTCCATCTTTGGGTGAAGACAGGATTGTGGAAAAACACGGAAATGTCCGAGTTCGCTATATTTCATCCAAAATAGGTGTCTCTTTTGTCCACCGTTTATCATCTCTGTAGGTATTACTGCTTTGGAAAAATCTCCAGCTGTCATGTGTGTGGTTGGGAGTTGCTTGTTGGTTAGTCCCACTCTTATGAGGATGTGAAATGAGGTAAGAGTTTGAACAGCTGGTCTTCTCAGAGATGATGCTTTCATGCCTCTAAACTACTAAGGCTGCAACAAATGGACAAAATAAAACATACCTCTGAATCACTGCGTTTACATGGACACCAATAATCCACTATTAACCCGATTAAGACCATACTCTAATTAAGAAACTACCATGTAAACAGCAATTTTTCCTTACCATAATTGAATTAAGACATGGGGAGTACTCTTGTTTTAGTCGCATTATGGACATGTATTACAGACACGTAAACACCTTAATCACATTATGAACGTCGTGTGGGAGTTTTCACCGCATTTTGCGTCAGGACGCGATCACACACGGCAGTGCTCAACATTTTACGGCGAACCAGAGAGTTCGGCTGCATCCCAAACGGTGTACTTGCCTACTATAGGCCCGTAGTGGGGGGAAAATACATGTATCTCGGCTACTATATAGACGGTAAGTATGCATTTTGGGACGCAGCCCAAGGCTTCAAGCAGTTGTCTATTAGCACGTACAGCATGGCAAATAATTAACAGCGCTTAAATCGTTCAGAAAAAAATTTTACTAACACCCAAAACTGTATACGGTACCATAACGAAGACGTTATGATACGTGAAATTCTGGAGGGATGTCGCACGGTGTGGCGTGTTTACTTAATCATGTTGGCTGTTAATCTAATGTTCTATATCATGTCAAACGGGAACATGACCGGAGTATTCAAAAAGCGACTCATCACAATATTATCTTCCTCAGATTAAGGTGAATAATTAGATTACTGCTGTCCATGTAAACGTAGTCCATGATGAGCTTCATGTACCTTATTTTTCACAGTGTAGAGAGTTTTTAAAACGGGTCAACTTATCCCAACTATGAAGTAGTCTTTATTTTATTTATTTGGTTGTGATCGCCTGATGTTTCCGAGTGCAGTCTATAGCGAATGGTTTGATGGTGGCTAA